AAAGCGAGCCCTGCCCGAACGACGATAGCTGGAGAGCCGGGACTTTCATAATTTTGTAGAGTAACGTCCGAACTATCTACGCATGCAAAAACCTATAAAATTTTAAAAATTTGTCAACTTCGGCAGACCTTTTTAGTCGTAAAATCTTCCAGAAAACCCTTTTGGAAAAATCCTGTACTGTCAAAAGCTATTCCATAAGAAAGAGCGCATGCGAAAACTTATTTTCGTTGAGTTTTGATGTGAATGAATGCATTTAATCCACAATGTCCGCCTGCCCAGGCAAAATTACCCACTGTGTTTTGGGAGCGACACAACTTGCATTAAGATAAACAATTAATTATAGCTATTTGGCGCCAATTTCGCGTTTCTTTTTTGCACTCGAGTCTGTTTCTCTCGCACTTGGCAGGAAAATGCTAATTAGAGCGTTTTCTGAAGAACTCATGCAAGAAACTGCACGTTTTCGTATTATTTTGAGATGTAATACATAGTATGTATTACATCTCAAAATAATACGAAAACGTGCTGGTAAAGAACCAACCCAGAAAAGAACCATCTGCCATTGTTAACTTTGTTAGCACAGAAGATATTGGCTGTGCCGGCATCGTCAGCCGCTGTCGAACGTACGTTTTCAGCTGCTGGTGTTATAGTCACACAACGTCGAGCTAATCTAAACCCTCGAACAGTCAACGATATAATAGTAGTACGTTCAAGTCAGAAATGATCAGATATTTTTATTTTGTTTTNGCAGACGGGGCGATCCCCGCGGAGCAGATTTCTCGAAACTTGACGAGGTACGGGGCGATGCCGAGGCGGGAAGTTTGCGAGGCGATCCTCGCGATGGAGCTAAAGATACTCCCTCGCCCATCTCTGATACGAAACCTATCGATTTCGATTCGTACAATCAAGAATAAATACTTAAAGAACATTTTCAAGCATAACAAATAAGTTATGAAGAGTCTAATTGAATAATGTAAAGTATATAATTGTGCAGTTCTGAACGACGTCGCTTCAGTGTAACAGTCATTGGTTTGAAATGCAATCAATGACAAAAGAAAGAAGAAAAGGATGTTTTTTTTTCCGACGCTACTTTTTGGGAGATAATTGGTTACATAACAGCAGAGCATACAAATTCGTATTGATTTTCATGTTATATTAGACGACTTCGGCATGTTTACCTAAATTCAATAGACCGTTGTAAAAACAGGCAGTTGAATATGTAAAAAAGAAGAATCAACAGTCTCACTTATCTCCTGCAAACACTACTTCTCCAGTAAGTTGATAGTTTTTGCGGTGCAGAATTCGAGAATTTTTCGAAAGTAGTAAATGATTTTTAAAAGGTTAAAGAATTTTTTGTAAGACCATTGAGAAACGTTGTTTTCTTTGCTCACCACTATTTAAGAAACTGACACGGAAAAATATCAGAAGAGGCCTACAGTAATTTTATTTGTTGCTTGTGATTTTGTTTCGATTTATAAAACATCGAATATTCTATTATGATTTTGCTTTAGAAAATTCAATATACTTATCCAGCATGAAATGTGTATGCGTAACAGAAACAGAAAAACTAAAAACTGATGGTAATATAGAGACAAAACTATGCGATATAATATCATCATGCATCGTGAAGTAAGTGTTATGTCGTGTTATATTCTGTCACTTGTATAGTGTGTTGTTGTCATTTGTTTACAGCGATTTAAAGTACCACTGTGAGTTTGTTGATTTTAATAAATTAGATTTTCAAGAACATGAAACATTAAATAAATTTTTAACAGCTGACATCGTGTTAATGGTATGTTTTTTGTGTGCAACATCGCATGCTATTGCTAAATATATGTCTTGTTGTAGGATGTCAGTAATCCACAAAAACGACCTGTTTTTATGTATCATAAAGGCAATCGCGAAAGTATTGGCTATACAGAAGACATCGTTCTCATACAAACTAATGCTGGGAATGATGCCATTCAAGATTTGAAGGTAAATTAGAGCAGCGTAGCTCATATTTATTAAAAAATTTATTAATTATTTTTTAGGCTTGTAAAATTAAACGACTGGTTGTTTACCTTTATGATGAAGCTCAACAGGTGTTCTATGATCTGACGTCACCATCACTATTTCAACGATTTCCATTGCTAAAAAATACTCTAAAAACATCCCTAGAAGCAGCATCAGCCATTATTAAGTTAGTAATTGTGACTAGACTTTGATCACTTGATATACGATTTACTGTATATGTTTAGAAAAGGTTTAAGTGATCGATATATTGCACGTATGACTGCTAGCCGATATGAAATCAATGATACGGCCCTTTATAAAGAAGTAGGTCAGCATATTCGATCGTTGTTCCTACGGAGTGTTTCGATTTTTCTGTCTGCCATTTTAGTTTTTGTGGAACAAAATTTGCAATAAAATATTTACAAATAAAGAGCAAGAGTATGCAACACCCGCATTGATATTAAATCTACTTTATGCATTTCGTGATATTCAGGTAAGAAAAATAGTAGATGTTAACGGAATCACAATGTTCTCTATACCTATGCTATCACAGGATTATGAATCCATGATTAAAGTTATTGAAAAATGTAAACAATCAGATGTTATATGGAAAAAATTAGCACCTAATCCAATGATTGTATATCTTACTGCATTCGCTTATAGCAGGTAAAAGCAAATGGGTATATGCGATGGAAAAGGAAAAATGAATGCGCACAAATATTTTGCTTTTATTTAGACGGAATGCTGAGGGCGATAGAGATCGAGCATTACAAATTCTGGAAAAGCCTACTACAACTAGAAAAACTGAAAATGAGCAGTCAAATGATGCAATATGTCTATGTGGACGAATCTACAAGGACAAATTTACCGAATCGAATTTTGAAGATAAGGAAAGCTTGGCTAAATCAATCGAGTGGTAAGTGAGATATAAAGTGCTCTTATAATACAGTATTGAAATGAGTAACATCGAACATTCATCCTTATCGATTCTAATAGTTAGAGATGTAATTTTCATGCTTTAGCACCATGTTGAATCCTGTTTTTTATGCTAAAGGACAAAAAGTTCTTTTAACAAGTTTTGGGCTCCTGAGGATCCCCCTTGAGTCGAGTCACTGCATGAAAGCCACAACTTCACATGCTCAATGACCATCTCAGATTTTTCTCAAACCAGTTTCATTTGGCAAAGCTAAGTGAGAAACTTATAAATTCAACGTTTTTCCGTTTCAGAACTTGTCCTTTTGGAGATATCATTTTTTCCCCCGAAGTACCGAGTCGAATATGCTCAAGGGCAAAAAAAGTAAACAGTTTTTTTCTTGTGAATG